TTGCATGGACTTCCTAAATTAATCACTGGAGCAGCATTTTGTTTACATGGATTGCAGGCCTCTGTAATTTAAATCACCGTCGACTGTTTTTTGAATCATTTAAAAGCCTGAGGCATATGGAAAAGAAAGTGAAGAAGTGAAGGGGGGAAAGAAGGAAAATTCAAACATCTGAAAACTAAAGTATTGCACGACATGCAACTGGGTACAGTGCGGGAGTTAAGGCATCCTTTTTAGAGCTTGTCACTTTCGATGTCGAAGTTCTGTTGATCGTTGGTTCCTCTGTATTGTATCAAGTCGGTATCGGTGCAAATGCCTCCGTGAAGGAGGCCAGATTATCAAAAGGGGCTAAGGCTGCTAAATGTGTACTTCAACAGATACAAAATAGCTAAAAGAACTTCGACCACCATCTACTCTTCAATAAAAGTAGTGCTTTTGAAACATCTCACAGTCGCAAAACGTTCGTCATTAGTATCTACGTAAGTCTGGGAGTATTTAGTCCCAGGGGCAGTGGTGCCAGTATATCATAAAGTTATGGGTCCTGACGGAGTAGTAGTAGTGGTAGCAGTTTCACTGACTGCAAGATGTTTCACAATGGATCCGGGTCATTGGTGTGACTAAAAGTTCCAGTCATAGTAAATACGAGAAGGCGCATGGAAAGTTGTGTCATCCCAGTAATTAAAGTGAATTTGTGCGAATTGTGGTAGGAACCTTCAGCATACCCTTTTCCCATTTATCACCTGCATAATTTTAATGTCGGCTTAGCCGAATGAATGTGCTTTAAGCCAGTATTCTCGGTTCCACTGCTGCAAAATCTCTCCGTATAAACCATATCAAAGGATTTGCAGATAGGGCAGTATCCAAGGCTACCACCCAGGTGGGTCCAAATTTGTCCATCTCTCAATTTCGCATGTTTCATTGAAATGAAATGTACACTCTAATTGATGACATCCTACACAACACTGGTTGATAACATGTGGAATGACATTCGAGGAAATTTAACCCCTTTGACTGATTTTTGTCCACCTAGCTAGTGGAAGGAAAATTTCATGTTGAAACTTATATCCAATTTCCTAATAAATGACAACGTGCGTCATTTGCACACACCAAATAACATTCCATGCATTTTAAATCATCTGTCGTCTGCGTGGCTGACCAACATGTAATGAGGGGCAACTTCTATTTTTAGCCCTCTTTCATCAAGTGTAATTTATTCTCTCAAATACTTAACTAGCCCACATTCCCAAGGCCCAACCATGCAACTTTTTTTTGAGCTGTTCGGTACAACTCGAGGAGGTTTCGACAAGACTAGCTCTTGAGAAATATATAGCTCGTACCATTTAATTGCAATAATGTGTCATCCTAACGAGGCCGCACATAACCTTGTGCTTCAAATCGTATCAGGATATTTTTGCCTCATTTAAGGGGGAGTAAGGCGGAAAGGCGAAGGTTCAACCTCATCCATTTTATCTTTTGATGGGATTTCCCCACCCTTCAACTGCTGCAATCACCTAATTGCTTTTGCTTGAACAAATAAAGGGAACACGCTAGAGAATCAACTGCCTAATACCTTCCAAAGACATAATACTAGCCGTGTCCCGAGGCGAATAAGGCTCTTTGCAGCTACATTTTAATGGTCCATTTTTAGTAATTCTGACCACCCTCTCCTTTGTTTAGTCCAGACGCCTCGATAGGCTAAGGAAAGCTATTTGTTCCAAATACCATTTCCTTTCTCATTGTCTTTTAGTTATGACGGCTCTCGTATCTTCCAATACAAGTGCAACTGCGGTCACAGCCATTCTTGAAGTAGGAGCTGGACATCACGGTAACAAATCGAAGGTTGGAAATATAAGTCCTTGCTAACAAGG